TGCTTGTCCTTTGTCAACTGCACACTTTTATCCCCGAGTGCCATGACAAGACAGAGGGAAGAGTTAAAGTGAAACTTCCAGAACTGTTTCATTGATTAGCTTGTTGAAATTTCTTCTAGATTAGTGTCTTAGATGGTGTTCGTAAGCCTAGCATCGGATTGTATTTTTGCAACAACTGACTGCTACGAACAAGTGCAAGTTAATGGTAGTACAGAAAAATAAGATGATACCTTCTCTTTGCATTTCCAGGCAGAAAGATTGTGATCTTAAAAACACACTGTCTCATACACAATATGTAACTACTGGTGAGACTGTAGGATATACTGTGTTTTGCTGAAAATGGTCATATGAACATACCATTATTATGGCATCCAGCTGCTTATGTGGGCATGGGCTGTACATCCCAAAGGTTGACAGGGTTTAAAGGTGGAGGTTGGTAAGGAGAAAATGGGACAGCATGAGGAAGTATGTATGGACCCAAGTTTTAGGGGCAGCTTATTGTAATCTCCAGTTCTTACAGCATGGAAGTGTGAAAACAAAAGAACAAATTAAGATGTGATTATTTTTCCAAATAGTCAGGCTAAGGAAGTAAGCAACTGGTGAAAGTCTTTGCTATACTGATGGTATATCTTGGCCCTTGACCTATTTGCCTGTAGTAGTAAACGTTTTCTAAATTTCTGCCAAGTAGATGGGATGTACTTAATTTCTTAGATACTGTTTGAAATAGACTTGAATTTAAGATTAGCTGGGTTAATTTACAATTTAACTGGATAATAACAGAGTGATAATCACTACTGCACTCTTAAGAGTTTTATTTCTGTTGACACTGGTACAGCAGACAAATACAACATACTGCTCTGTCTCTTGAAAGTTGGCCTGAAGTTAGGTTGCCTTAAAGTGTAGCTTGATACTCACCACTTGTCCAAGTTGCATAGTTGTGCTAGTGGAGTGCTGGGAAGTGAAGAATCCAGCTTCTGTTGGCAAGTGCTTCCTCAGGTGCTGGAGTGGGACTGGCTGGAAGACCTTTCACTTGTGAAAGACAATCTAAATGGAAAAACGGTTTAATGTCAAGTTGCAACTGTCATACTCGGTTACCTCCCTGGGTATTTGGGTTTTTTTCCTCAGTTTGTTCTGTGTTTTTGTTGTTGTTCTTCCTTGTAAAGATCAGAGTTCTTTATTATGACCTTTTTGTACTAAATATTATGAAAACTGAGAAAAGTGTGATTCCTTCCTGAAAACTCTTAATGTGAAATACCTTGTGAGCCAACGGGTGGGTACACACTGGTTAGGAAGGTAAGAAAGTCAGTTGGCTGTTGTGACAGACAAGAGCTTTATAGTACTGCAGTAGCAAACAAGGGTTATCTAGTCTATCTTCTCTGCCCTATGGCAAAATAAACTATGTCATGTCATATCTGATAGATTGTCTTCTTAAATTCCCCTAAAATTTCCCAAGGCTGGGGGCTCTAATGATTCTTCTGGTATTCTGCCTGGTGTTACCCATACTGCAAAATCTGTTGGGTTTTTTTCCTGATGTCTTACCCATGGCTGTGATTTTGGTATGTTGTTACTTTAAACCTTCCTTACTGTTAGCAGATTATCCTCTGCATTCAGAGGCTGCTCTGTTATGTTGATAGGGTATGTAACAGAAGAAAGCTTGCAATCAGAGTTAGTGGGGAGAGGTTAATGACTAACTCCAGCTGTATAAAGTGCTATGGTATGAAGATGGAATTTAACAAATTTGGCTTTCTTCAACCCTGCTTAATAGATGTGAGGAACTTCATATGTTAAGCTGAAGGAAAATGAAAGATGCCTATGAAGTTAATTCAGAGAAGTTCTAGATTTGAATTGGACAACAGTAACTTGTCAAAAGTTACCTGAATCTGATGAGGGGGGAGACAGTTTTGTAGAGGAAGCTTTAGGCGTACTGGTTTTCATGTTGTCATGTTATATATAGATCCACAGCAGCCTTAGGCTAGCACAGGAGAGTTGAAGTGGTCAAGGCTCAGCTGTATGATCATTAATAAAGACTGTCAGTGTCTACCTATGCATCCGTTAACAGATGTGTGATGGAGTTGACCATGTTCTGCTCCGCAGGTGGAAGGGAGAGGCAATGATAATCTTTGTCAGTATCCCTGAAGACACCTTCTCTGGTTTGTGCTAAGAGATAGAAGTGTTCAAGGCCAGGTTAGATGGGGCTTTGAGCAACCTGGCTTAGTGGAAGGTGTCCCTGCCCATGGTGGGCAGGTGGAGCTGAATGACTAAGGTTGCTTCCAACCCAAACCATTCTATAATTCTATGTTGTCAGGGTGGTACCGCAGATCCTCATGCTTCATGCAGCTTTGGGAACTTCCACTAATGGAGGTCATGGCAGGTAAATAGTTCTGTGTGCTGATGTTGAATGCTAGTAGCAGCATGACTTTACATGAAAGTGAGGTTTCGGCTGCAACGTGCATTGCTGGCATTTGTTGACATTGAGTTCATCAGACTTTGGACCATCAGTGGAGACATGAAGAGCCTGCTACCATTGACTGACTACTTCATAGTCATACGTACTGCTGCAGGCTGAAGCTGCCTTTTGTTGCTAAGATCTTGTAGTGATTATTATGCAGTTTGGTTTTTATGTATATTTAATAAGTTATAAAAGAAGCTTGCTGTGGTTGAGACAAATCAATAGTCTCTTCCAGCTTTTGCTACAGGTTGGCAAAATGTTCTGTGGAGCTCCCCTTGGAGTAAGGTTGAAATTTCTTAGCTATAGTTGCTCTGTGTATATCCTATTATTTGCTTGGGTGATGTTACCATTGCTATCTTGTCAGGATTTTGTCAGGTGCTTGCCTTCTGGCATTGCACAAGGAGGAGAGAAATACATGTCTTACTATTGTTCTTGCAATTCCAAGAAGAATCTTGAGGTCCTGTGGTCATGTGCATTTCAGTAGTACAGCCAAGAGGGTCCATTCCTCACCATTTCAGCTGAATTTCCAGCGATTTGTTTGGCATTACGATATACTCGGGGACAAGCTCCAGATGTGCCTTTTTAAAATTATGCTAGCAGAATTTCACTGATGTTTTCAGAACTCACTCTCTGCTTGGTCCTGGTTGTAAGCAGTGATGAGGTGTGGTGACCACAGTGTTGGCAACAGTGAACGCTATAGCTCCAGTCCTTGTAAAGATCCTATTCAAGGAAGATGACTGCATTTCAGTGAAACAGTACTGATCCATTGAAAGACCGAAATCTTTGGTCTTGCTAAGGGTTCTGTGCTATTAAAGCTTTCTCTGTTATTGGTGTAGATAAGGAGGTCTTGCACATAAGAAACATAACTGAGATTTGCAGTGAAAGGAAGAGAACAGTTTATCCTGTTTCCTAATAGAAATGGTGAGTTTAAAATCCTGTAACTTGAAGTGGCTGGTGTTAACTTCAGCCAGTTGTGTAGAAATGATAAAAAAAAGAAAATTATGGCTGCAAACCCCTGGTAAACCTAAGAAGCTGTTCTATCCCCTATGGTGTGCATGGAGTTCGTTGGCTTCTGCTGTTAGACTCAGCTGTGCTGCAAGTGCAGTAATGACAGTGTTTATGCAGCGGGTGGAGAGCTGGTTCTGGTAACTGCAGCTGAAAAGATCCACTTCTTCAAGAAGTGCTTAAAACCTGCTAGTCCTGATACTTCTGGCTTGCAGGAAGGTAATTTAAGTTGTACACCCCAATGATCATTAGCATCAAGAAAGAACCGACCGGAAGTTGAGAGTTCATTCTCTTGTGCTGAAACCAAAACCTTGCAGATGGGAAAGGGGAATGCATGGAATGCATTAAAGCAAGAGATACACATTTTTATTTCTAATGATACGGCATCTAAAACTGATTTAATGATGAAACAATGACCATTACTAAAAGTATCTTTCAAAGACATTCCATGTTGTGCATAGCTGATGATCCAAGGAAAGGTCAAGTTTATTCAGATACCTAATTAGCTGCTTGAAGTGTGTTCCCAGGGAGAGAGGACTTGGCTTCTACCCAGCAGTACAAGTTGGATTTTGCCTCTTTGGGGGGAAATCAGTACAAAGTTTAGGTTCTTTCAGTCTAAGTGTATCATAAATTGAAACATTAGGGTCTGATCTTTAAGCTTAATAAACTTCCCTTCAGAAGTCGTTGTGGTTTTAACCTGACGGGCAGCTAAGCACTGCACAGCCATTTGCTAGCTCTACCCCACTGGGGTGAGGAAGAGAATTGGAAAGAAAGGGAAAACTCATAGGTTGAGATAAAGACAGTTTAATAGGACAGAAATGGAAAATAATAATAATAAAGAACATACAAAACAAGTAATGCACAGTGGAGTTGCTCATCACCTGCTGACTGATGACCAGCCAGTCCCCAGGCAGTGGGCCTCTGCCTCCTCAGCCCAGTTTTATTGTTCAGC